AAGTTTAATTACATAATATAAAAACAATATCGTAAAAAAAACCATAAAACAAATACTATATGATAGCTTTATGAATTATTTTACTGAAAAAGAAAATTTTGTTGAGATAATGGTGCAACTTAAGAGATGAAGAATACTATACAAATACTACCTCCGATCCTAAATATAAGAGTTGGATTTACAATCCAGCTCTTATAATAACTATTATTAATAAGTGAATTGAATAATCTAACAATAATTAGTAACAAGTAAATTTTTTAGGAAAAAAAATGCTCGGGATGGGACGACCCCCATCTCGTGTCACATTCTGTTCTAGTCACTATTTTGCCCCGTCTCATAATAACTATTATTAATAAGTGAATTGAATAATCTAATAATAATTATTATTAATAAATAAATTTTTTAGGGAAAAAAACACTCGGGATGGGACGGCCCCGTCTCGTGTCACGTCCTGTTTTAGTCATTGTTTTGTCCCATCCCATAGTTATTATGTTACAGTCCCAAATTTTTTTTTTTTTATCCCATCCCATCTTAAATTGATCAGCACTTGGACAACGTCCAAGTAGAAAAAGCAAAAGGCATTCAAATTTCAATTTTGAATAGTATTGTGTAGTGCAACATCACAACGACTTTTTGAAGCCGAAAGTAACAGAAAAGGAAGAAAGAAAAACAAAGAGAGATTTGGCCTTTTGGTTACCACCATTCAATGGTATTTGATGGAAAAAGGTGTTGGGTACAGTTCCCAGCATTGAAAATGATGTTCACATACACTCCCTTTCAAACTGTATTTCTTTATTTTAAGATTTTTTTTTAGCTTTTATATATTCTGAAAATTTTATTTCACGGCATTTCTGCCATAAACTATTATTTATCATTAAGTTTGATTGTTTAAGAGAAAGGTTAAATTACATAATTTAACGGTTAAACTTAACAGAAGATAATAACACCCAAAAGTATGGGTTGAAAAGCATCTCCTTTTATTAGTATCTTAAAGTTTTGAATTTATATACACAAACATCAATCCTTACATAAATGATTGGTAATAAATAAGTATTGTTTTTCACAAAATAACATTGTTAATTATGTATATTAGAATGAAAACCTTTTAACATGTCCAATCAACTATTTGGAAAAACAATAAATAAATATGAAAAACAATATAGATTAGAGTCTTATATTTAGAATCAAATTGTATTTTAACCAACTTATATTTAAAACTAACATATCTTAGAGAAGCTTTAATTTGATTAGACTTTCATTTAGAATGGTCCCTTGGGATCCCGCTATAGACTAATACAAGGGTTTTTGTGCTTTTTTATTAATTTTTCTATTGTAATCTGATGTTGGAGTTATGTGGAATTTTTTTGGAACAAAAAAATCTTATCATCAAATACACGTATTTGTAATTTTATTAGGGAAGTTCAGACTAAAAGTTGGTAAAGCGGTCAAGTTAATTCCAAACTTACTCTAAGCAACCGACTCTTAAATTATTATCTCAACTGATTTAATGTTTGGTTTGATTTTTTTTCTTGAATTTTATAGAAGAACCTCTTTCGAATCAAATTATATTTGTTCCTAGCATGTTATAACATGACGTGGAGAGTGGTTAAGCACTCGAACCCAATAAAAATTGCACTAAATTTCAACCAAACTTTGACCCGTCTAATTCCAACGAGACAAAGCCAATTATCAGATACCTGCAAAGCAAACCTAAATTATCATTTTAATTTTAGGTACACAGCAAAATTAAAGTTCAGCTGTGTCGTGCATGTTCTCGACCAAAAAAACAAAACGAGGACTAGGAAAATAGCAAATAAAAATAATTATCAAATAAAAGAAAATTAAAAGAATGGAGAAGAATATAGACCAGACCACAATGGTCACAGCGTACGGCGGCTTCGCGGTCAGCCCAACAAGCGCCTGCTGAAAAATATACACCCCGAACATAAAAGCAGCCTTATTTTAAAAACAAACTGACAAATTACGTAATCCATAGATTTTTTTTATAACAAACAAATAATTAAATTATATAAGGATAACATTTACTTAAAATTAATTATATATGTAACTTATTTTCAAAAATACCTTTGTCTATGGAAAGAAAGTGAGTGAGCAAAGAAAATAAATAATGTAGTGAGACAAATTATTGGGAGTAAAAATAAAAAAGTTTTATTAAAAATTTAAGGCAAACTATAGTACTGCCTCTTATAAATAAAACATCATTTACTTTATAAATTAATTCAAATTTAAACCAAGTCAAGACTCCAATTGAAGCTCCCGACATAAAGCTATCTTTCTTGTACAAATAATATATGAGAAGTGAGCGCGTGTGAGTGCATGGTATGACTTCAATTAAATGGAATATTCAATGCTACCAAATCTAGCTCATATATTCTGCGTAAACGCGTGCAAATATATAAAAAAAATAATACTACCTCCTGTTCTTAATATAAGACTTTGTTTAACTTTTATTTTAATCCTAAATATAAAATCTCAATTCATTTTGTTTATCATATTTACTTAATTTTTTCAAGACAGTTCTTGTAATAATTTTAGTTTTAGCCAACACACTAAACTAGTAAGGATATTTTAGAAAAGACAATACCTATTTATTACAAATAACTAATTTAACTTTTTTTTAATCTTTTTGAATTAGTTAACTAGCTCTTATAATTAGAACCGGAGGTAGTAAGACATAATTTTTAGACCAACAAAGAAGAAAAAGATATTATTTTGCCAATGAAAGTGCTGACTTGTTACAACTTGAAACAAACGTACGACTGTATATTTATCCATGGGAAATTATTTTAATTACTGGTTTATTTGCTATATTTATAATTGAGGTAATGGTTGATGCAATGAGAATTGTGAATATACTATGACATGAATTCAACAGAGAACATTATTTAATTAAATGAAAATATCTGGCATGCAAGCCTAAGGAATTTGAGGGTTTTTTGCCTAAGCCGCAAGGAATTGACTCTTGAATTGCTCAACTTTCTGTGTGTTCAATGTTCAAAGTTTTTACGACAAACATTCCACCTATGAAATGGCCAATTATATGCTAGCTCGGATGATTAATATAAGAAGAAGTAGATGGCTAATTTATAAATATAAAAAAAAATTAATTGAGTTAGTTATTTATAATAACTAGATGTTTTCTTTGCTAAAATCTCCTTGATCATATATGCGTTTAAATTTCTCCTTGATAGTAATTTTATAATATGTGTAATTATCATAAGAATTACTTGAGGATAATTTGGCTAAATATTGAAGACAAATGGTTTGAGATTTTAAATTTAAGATCAAATTAAATCTCTAACTAGCTCTGATATTAAGGACCAAATATAATCCTTTTTAAGATATTTCAAAGCATATATGCACACAATCATACACACGTCAAAGAGCTTTTTTTTTTTTTTTGGGAAGCCAAGCATTACTATTCAAATATACATATTTTCTCATACGTGCAGGAGCTAATTGAATAATTTGTTGACTCCGAATGGATTTAAAACTTCAATTTATTTTATTTCCTAAATTTATTATCCCTATTATTGCATATGTTAACCTGAAAGTGGTTTTCATTGTAAATGATTAAAGAGAGTACCTTTAAAAAATCACTACATATTTTTTCTCCAAATAATCAATATAACTAATCTTTTTAATATGTATAATTTAATTATCTATTATATTTATATTTAGAAGATAACATGTGATATTTTTATGTGTGTGTGGGTAAACGGACTTTTACCAAATCTATTTGGAGCTGGGCATAAAAGAAAATTCCTTTTTTGGAGATGGCCCCAGCAACTTGATGCCGTGATGAGTCTGACCTCAAAAAAGTTTCATTATTGCGTCACACGCGCACATATAGGAATGTTTACATATTCAACGACAAATATTTAAAGAAATTCCTTATTAATGTCTCCTTTTTTTTCTTCTGTTGGACCAAAAAATTGCGTGTAAATTTTGATTTACACTTAAAAAATTGCTACGATTTTGAACCGGGTGACACACTCGCACACAGGACATTGTTCCTAATTACTTCTAATCTTAGGTGGAGAATGTTGATATTTTGTTAATATTGTAACAGTAATGTTGTCTTATATTATCATGTTTTTAATATAAAAGTTAGATAATTAATTTAAAAATATTAAAAAAATAAGTTAAATTGGTTAATTGTAATACATATGTGTTAATTTTATATTTAAAATTTTATATTTAAAATTAAATCTGACACCACTAATTATAATTAGGTCAGGGCAGTATTGGGGAATGGCAAGTGTCAATTGTCATTACTCACCCCAAGTAGCAATTTACTATTATCACATTAGAGCTTAGTAACGTCAAGTGACGTAAATCTGATGGGCAAAATGGTCAATTAGTAATCCACCATATTCAGGCGTCTCAACTAGACCGGAATGGTAACCTATTTTAATGATAACATAATCATTAATGCGAGTTTATTTGCAACAAAAATTAAGGGAAAGAATTATTTTCACTACAAATTAAAAATTTAAACGAGTGGTCATATTTTTTAATTTATAAATTTATAAAATATCTGTTCGCAAGATCCAAAACTCAAAAAACAACAACCAGTCGCGGGGGCTTATGGACCGTACTCGGATTGACTTCATTTTTTTGATCCAAAAAAGTCAAACCGCATAATTTCCAAACAGATTGCTCTGACATATTTATCCCCTCAGGGACAAAACAGTCAATTCCGCCAAAGCGAGTGACGCCGTGAGCCCGCTGCGACGCCCTTCCCCGCAGACTTTCTTGGAATGAGACTGTTCCCCACAAAGGAGGTAACATTTATTACTCCATTTCGGAGAAGAGGTCATCATCAACGAATTTCCTCATTTACCCCTCCACCCGCTTCTATCGTATTATTTTAATCCTCCCAGCTTCGTAATTATCTCAAAATTCAGTGGCAATCCTAGAACAACAGTGTTTAAATACGTGCCCTGGTCGTTTCCCCTCATTAGTTGGTTTGGCTTGTTCAAGTATTGACGCTGTCCTCACCTGCTCTCTTCTTCTTCTTCTCTCCGAATTTCAAGTTCAAGCACACAATCGAAGTCTTATTACATACAAATCTTTACGATGTTGCAGGTCAGTTCAACTATTCCATTGCACAACCCTCACATGTTTCAGGTCAGACGTGCTAGCTTTCGATGCCAATCCTCTCCGTTGAATCCTTCGACGAAACCGTCGCCGCCGTCTTCCACCGACTGCACTCGCTTGCACCTCGCAAACCTCGACAAACTCCTCCAGAAGCAGCCGTCTCCTCCGATCACCCAATTCGAACAACAACAACAACAACCACAACCAAAGCCTTTCCAGAAGGAAACTGACAACGAAAAGAAAGTGAAGAACATAATTGAAGGCCTCAGTCTAGCGAGGCTATGGCCAGAAATGAAGGCCACAGAAGAGATGTCTCCGAGGCACCTCAACCGCTTACAGCGTCTGTTATCCATGACGGCGGAATATTCCCCTCGGAACGTTCTCGGAAGCCTTTGGAGGGAATACCACGGGAGTAACGATTGGAAAGGACTCCTCGATCCGCTAGACGAGAATCTCCGGCGAGAGGTTGTACGGTACGGCGAGTTCGTACAAGCTGCTTACCATTCGTTTCACTCCGATCCCGCCATGTCACCGGAGGAGCCGCCCACGCCCCAACGGGTCGTTTTGCCGGATAGGTCCTACAAAGTCACGAAGAGCCTCTATGCCACGTCATCAATCGGGTTGCCCAGATGGGTGGACGACGTGGCTCCCGATCTCGGATGGATGACCCAGCGTTCCAGTTGGATCGGGTACGTCGCCGTTTGCGATGATAGGAGAGAGATCGCAAGGATGGGACGGAGGGACATCGTAATATCTCTTCGCGGGACAGCAACGTGCCTGGAATGGGCCGAGAATATGAGGGCCCAATTAACTGATGTCTCCCCAGAGAATGATGATAACTCAGCTCCGGCCCAAGAAAAGCCCAAAGTGGAGCGTGGGTTCTTGAGCCTGTACAAGACCCCAGGAGCTCACGTCCCAAGCCTAGCAAAATCTGTGATAGAAGAAGTGAAAAGGCTCACGGAAGTGTACAAAGGTGAGACCCTCAGCATCACGGTGACAGGCCATAGCCTCGGTGCCGCGTTGGCATTACTCGTCGCCGATGAGATCAGTACATGTGGTACTGACATGCCGCCGGTGGCGGTAATCTCCTTTGGCGGGCCTCGAGTGGGAAACAAGGCATTCAAGAATCAACTAACAGCAAAAAATGTGAAAGTATTAAGAGTCGTAAATTCTCAAGATGTGATTACCAGAGTTCCTGGCATGTTTGTGAGCGAAGAAGTTGAACAAAAGCTAAGGAAGTCTAAGGTAGGAGAAATGGTAGAAAACATGGGGTTGGGATATACGCATGTGGGAGTAGAGCTGAAAATAGATACGAAGATGTCGCCGTATTTGAAGCCGGACGCTGACATGGCATGTAACCATGACCTAGAGGCTTATTTACACCTGGTGGATGGGTATCTGGCATCAAATTGTCCGTTCAGAGCAAATGCCAAGAGGAGCTTGGCGAGACTGATGCAAGATCAAACATCCAATATGAAGAAACTGTATACAAGCAAGGCAAACGCTTTGAGTGTAAATCTTGCTAGAAAAAGCTCTTTCTCTATGCCTAGTTGTTTACCTAGTCCATCTTAAACTATACTATAACCAATTAAATGTGAATATGCAAAATTTCACCCATATTCTGTGTTTTGTCTCTTCATTTCTGTACCTCTATCATACCCAGATATCATGCTTGGAAGACATATTAAACTACACAAAACTTAAAGCATATGCAAACTTCAATTCTATCAATAAAATATCAAGCACACAAGCAAACGCTATAGTTTTTCCCTCCCAATCAATGAGTATCTCAGAGAGAGTTACTTTCAATAGTTCTGATGTTTGCTTCTAGTTATGAGGCACATTTGCTTTTGCTTGTTTTCAGTTAAAACATCCTGAATGTGTTCTTAAAGCACCTATACCTGGTTTTAGTACACATAAAAATAACTAGACCATTGCACACATATCTATTCATAACTAATCAATAATGTGGCTGGCAAAAAAACAAAACTAATAAATAGTGTGATTTTTTCATATACTACCTCCGATACTGAGCCAGTTGACTAATTTGAGGAGATTAAAGAAGTAAGTTGAGTTAGTTATTTGTCCTAAATAGGTATTGTGTTTTCTAAAATATCTTTGCTAATCAAGTGTATTAACTAAAACTCTTATTATTAGAAGGGTTACTTTGAAAAAATATATATAAATATGAAAGACAAAGTAGATTGTGGTCTTATATTTAGGACTGAACGTAATATTAATGTATTTATATATGTATCTACTAAAGAAGTAGGATTGTGTCGGTGATTTGGGCAGAAATATTAGAATTCAAACAATGCAATTTTGGTGCGGAGTTGACACTTGATTAAATTTCAATTGAACATTTCAAGATGTGACTGTATACATGAAGAGAGAGAGGAAAATAACCCTCCAGCCTCCAACAACCAACCAACCTTCAACTCATGAAGGTGTGGTGAGGATGACGTTGAAAGCGTAAAATGGCCAATAATTCAAAACAAAGTTGAGACTGACTCAGTTCCCATCTTTACATTCTTATCATATGCCTTTGTCTCAAAGGCTTCTGCTTTTGCCATTTATCATTTTTCAATGAAATATTGCTTTTTTTCAAGTCAAAAGGAAAAAATAAAAAGAACAAGAAAAGAAAGAATACTCATTTCAAAGGTCGATATTTTTGTACACGGAGACTTTTCTAATTTTGTAGAAAATCAATACCAGACTTTTGAGGAATGGATAGAAGTCAATTGAAAAAATAAATATGATTTTTTAAATATCGTTATCTCAAGTTTTTTAAGATCTGAAGCAAGTGTTTCTTTGAAATAGGTGCATTTACTATTTGACCTAATTACTGACAATTGCATGAATCAAGTGGGATTAACGTACAACCAGACAGGGAAATAGTCCCAAATAGTGACCGCTTTAACTTGCCTAGAATGATATCCACCAATGCGATTACCGGTGATACTCGATTCATCCAACTTTTGAATCTGCTAAGAATATTTTGTTAAATATTTCGAAGATATTTTTATAAATAATGTTTTATATCAATGACTCTAGCAATTGGCAGATGTGAAAAGGTCTAAAGACGAAGGGCGATGCTCTAAAAAGGACGAACAAAATAACGATTTTGGGAGGACTAGAAGATGGAGTTTCAGAACAGAAGGGAGGAAAAGCTAGATCAGCGCGATGCTTGAGCATTAGGGAGGATCTCATTTAGCACCCGTCAAGGACTTTATTTCCAGCTATCTCATGCAACGTTTAAAAACTATGGTCCCATTTAGTACGATTGAAAATAAAAAGTAAGGATTGAGATTGAGATTTAAAAAAATATGTTTAAAGAGTATTTAGTATTAGTGATTGTTTGTTACTTGGGATTGGGTAAATCTATATATGTGGGATTGAAAAATATTATGGAGGGATGTAGTATTCTCCAATTCCACTTACATAGGAGCGTAATTCTATGTAATAAGAAATCATTTGTACTAAATATTTTTTAATGATTTTTCTCAATCTCAATCATAATCCTTGGCCAGACCTATACCCTTTTCAAGGTAAGGTAAAATTAATTTCTAAAATGAAAAGACAATAATAAACTTAGAGAGAGAGAGAGAGAGTGCAAATTCACATGTGGCTGGGAATGCTCAAGAGGAACAAGTTGATTTAGTGTCCGTTTGCTTCACTGAATCCTTGGCAATGTAATGAAATGTAATGCAATGATGATTACATAAGTTTGTTTGGTACATCATTGAAAAAAGATGATGCATAGGCATAAAAACGTTTAGTTGGATTATAAAGAAAAGAAAGAATAGATAAACATAATATATCAAAAGAGAAAATTGTCCTTATTTACATATACAAATGTATAATGATTTAAAGTTCTCTATTTTTTCTCCAAATATACATGATAACCCTATCCATATATATATAATAATAAGTTCAAGCAAAAAAAAAACATAGAGTATATAATACACAAACAAATATAATAATATATATGTATGCTTTCCCATTATCTAATTCTCCCTTGCCACCAATTAATATGTACAAATATATATATCACCAAATATGTAGCAACCATTCAATTAAAGTTTAGTAATAATATGTAGCAGTGTGTGCGACTGCCAATGATAGATCAAAACTTCCATGAAAGCAAAACAAAAAGGCCATCAAAAACTGGAATTTTAAGAAAGAAAAAGACGTGACTTTCATTGTAAAAGAAACATAGCAGGGTTAATGAATGAAATATTAGTCCGGCAACGGACATAATGGCAGCAGCAACAAAATGATTGCTGATAAAGATGATAACAGCAGCAACAGAGATGACCAAGTAGCGATGACTCCTGTTCCGAGGTGATAGCAGTAACGACAAAGACGGTAAGAGTAGCGGCAAAGAGAATGGCTGAATGGACAGGCTATCAATAGGATTTATCTATGGGCACATTGGTCAATTTTAAAAATTATAGTGACAATATTGTCTTTTTAGCTCAATTACAAGCAGCATGCATCTCCATTCATCGGTTTTAGTAGTGTAATCCAAATGCATTCATTTGATGTAATCAAGATTACAAAATGTAATTTCTTTTACATTACATAAGTCTAACCAAACGTATGAATCAGCCCATTACACAAGGATTACATGTAATCTTCTCTCACGAAATCCAACCAAACAGGCTCTTGGCTTCCACAAAAATTAATTCTATTTTAGTCCCTATGAGTCCAGTGAAACCCCGAACTGTTTTGTGGCTATTGAAAATTGCATTACTTTCGTGGAGGGCTGTTAAAATTCTCCCTTAGCATTATGTTTTGTTACATGAAATTAGGATAGATTTAGTGTCTTTGACGGCCTTAATTTTATTGCTCAGCGAACAATGCAACTTCTTACACTAATATTTTATGTTAATGACAAGTTAACAAATGGAAATTGAATTTTGAAAACTAAAAAGAGGCCTATGCATTGCGACTTCTACTTTTGGAGCGGACTTGAGTTTCCGAAAGACTACAATAGAAAAGACGTCCCTATAATCAAGATAAAATAAAAGGAACAACAACAACAAAGCAGCAGCAGCAGCAATAATAATAATAATAATAATAATAATAATAATAATAATAGCTGATGAATGTTTTATAAACAAAGTACTGCATTCTAATCCGGACGACTGAAGGAAACAAAACCACAATACTATTGAGAATTTGCAGAAGCTAAAATCAACTTGCCGCTGTTTATTTAAATACTGGACTAGAGCTATTCAAATTAAATTGCACAAGCTGCTACTACACATGTAGAGAATGGGGCAAAGAATAAGGTAAATACTGCAGCTTACCAATTCCTAGTTCTGTACAAATGTATTTTAAAATCAAATACATTGAAAAGAATGGAAGTTTTAACAACGAGCTAAATCACAAAAAGCAAAGCTTGATGAACAAATTCTTCATATGATGAAAGCATGATGTGAAACGAACTAGTTTTACATGCCACGCAGACACATAAGCCTTCGCTTCAGACCACCAATACTTGCCTTCTCTAATTGGAGCAGCAACCACTCTTCTGATTCACAGGCTGTCCCCGAATCTGCACTGTTGGAGGCCTGGCATTGTTCGTTGGTTGGCTTGCCATTCTGTGCAGAATGAAACAATCAAGGACGACAACACACAAACACACAAAGTGGTCAAATATCCAGAAAATGTTCTCAGAGTATTTACAACTCCTATTGGGAAATATAAATCTTGAAAACCACACACCAATGACTACCAAAAAATCAATATGAGAACACATAATAAATCACCTGTTTTTAATTTCAGCAGCCATGGCCATGAAAGCCTGTTCCACATTGGTGGAATTTTTAGCACTAGTTTCCATGAAGGGGATCCCAATTTCATCTGCAAATGCCTGAAAAATGAAATGAAATGAAATAGCAAGCTCAAACATCAGACAAGAATAATAGAGCACCTTATAGGATTGCGAGGCTTCAAAAAATGAACCAGTCCGCACAACGTAGTAGTTCAAGGGACAATGGTCAGACTAGTCATAATTAATCTAATATATTTCTAATTATATATCTTAAATTAGGTGTAATATTTTATAAAATGATACTATACAAAATTAAATTTATAGGGCAAGTTTAAATAATTTTTTACTTTTTTGTTACTAAATATTATTTCATCAGCACATAAAAATTGAATGGCAAGAAGGTAACAGGTTGCGTTCTCTTCAATCTAGCAGAAATATTATTATTGGCCTTCAAGAATATAGGAAATAATTCTGAGATGTGATATTTATATAGTATATAATTATTTTAAAATTTATAGTTTCATAATAAATATACATATGTCTTGCGCATTTCCACACTAGTTTTTTTTTTCAATGCCTAAATGTATAGATATGCATAAAATATAGCTTAGAAACATTATTTGAATTTTTTTAAAAAATTTAAAATTAAAAAATTTCTGACCGGTTCATATGAATTCCTGCTTCACTGGTTTTCTGACGGTTCAAATCAATTCCTGATTTTATCCCATTACTGACCAGACCGTAGGTCCATTCCTGGTTGAACTAGTCAAGCTGGTCTGGTCCAGTTTTAAACATGGTAAGATTGTCTTTTGTTTTCTTATCTAGAGTAAACCAATGAATGTAAAATCACCTTTGCAGTCTCATAGGACACGACTTTATTTGCCGTGAGGTCACACTTATTTCCAACTAGAAGCTTGTTAACATTTTCACTGGCATAACGGTCAATTTCATTCAGCCATTGTTTGACATTGTTGAAGCTCTCCTGGTCAGTAACATCATAAACAACCTGCCAACACAAAAGGAGGATCACCAAGGTCACCCAAAATCCAGAAAAAATATCTAGATAAGGAACAGTTTGAAGACTCACAATAATGCCATGAGCCCCTCGATAGTAGCTGCTTGTGATAGTACGGAAACGTTCTTGACCAGCAGTATCCCACTATGTAACCAAAGAAATGCAAGAAACCTCTCAATAATAATTAAACTGAGAACAGTACATTGGGGGAAAAAAAAAACAAAACATAAATTTCTTCCTTTCTGTGGCCCCTGACTAACCAATAATTAAAGGCAAATCCCTCCCTCCCAAAGAGTAAAAGACCCCCCCGCCCCAAATAAAAAAAAGAAAAAGATTTCCATCAGGCTGTTTAAACACAATTGGCAAACAGATGCAATTTATAATGAGATAGTGAGCACAAAAAAGATTATTAGATGTCAAAAACAATCAAGGGGATTTTTTTTTTCTTTTAATGAAAAAGGGACAGTGATTAAATTTTTTAACATCAGAGTTACCTCCAAATTGTGTTTTATAAAACTAACTGACAATTCAAAGTCAATAAACATTACTTAGATTCTTCTTAAAGCAGAAAGACTTGACAGTAACTTCACAAGGTTTCCCATCAAAACCAAAAATGACTAAGATTTAAGCTTAGCATCCTTTGTTTAAGCACCCCAACAAAAGTTAAAATTCCGAATAACATCAACATTGTCAAGAACTTACAATTTGAAGTTTAATAGTCTTCCCGTCTTGCTCAACAGTACGAATTTTCTACAGAAGATAGCACAGCAAATAATTGGTCACAATATCTGTGTAATTAATAACATGAAATTGAAGCTTCATGTTAAATATAAATGCTTACAAAGTCAACACCAATGGTACTGATATAGCTGTCAAGGTATGAATCATCCTGGTAAAAATAAATTAAAATATTAGCAAGTATATTTCTTTCAATTCTCTGCAGGTGTGTGAAAGGAGTGTGTAAAATTTAGATTATTATAGCAACATACATCAATATGTAATACCACGGCTCTAATATATTATGGTTATCATTTTCAACATTCGCAAACCTTCCATTCTCTAATTCTTACAGCAGAGTTCAGCTTTTATAATATATAAGGTACAGTGGACAATTCAATTAATTTTTTAATTGAGAAAAGAAAAAGACAACCATGCCCATAGAATTAATTAGAAAAAGTACAAGCAAAAACTTACAGCAAACCTCAGAAGGAGACATGATTTCCCTACACCAGAATCTCCAATAAGCAAAAGCTTGAACAAATAGTCGCTGCAGTGAAAAATAGTGATAGTCCGTTCAAAGAGAGAAGACATTAAAGAAATCACTAATCCTTTTGCCAAACAAGGAACACTAGCACAGCAACACAAAGAAGCAAATAAGCACCATAGAAAAGAACAAAATTTGAGTGCCTTAAAGATGGCACATATTCTGCTATGAGTTTATGACAACATTCATAGAACATAGAAGATTGCAGGAGAGACTAAAGGCTTTAAACAGAAATGATTGGTCTGTTTTCTTGAGGTGTTGACAGGTAGAACATGGCGTTGCTAAAACTGACTTTGAATTATTAGATTGATTATTTTAAGGAGGACCAAATGTTGTTAGTTGGATGAATTTCAACAATCACTGAATCACCTTCTTTGCATCAGTGGAAACTGATAAACCGGATGAAAATGATTTAAAGTTAAGATACCATGTCACTAATTATTGTCACAGAATCGGAAACACACGGACAAGACCGTAACAACTTTTATAAGATGGACATTTAAGACTCATTTGGAATGACTTATAAGCGGATTTTCAATCGTGATGATTTACAGAATAGGAGACTTGTATCCAAACAGGCACCATGGCCATTATGTTTTTTTTTTTTTTGGATCTGCCACTTTGGCTATTACTCCCTCTGTCCCTTTTGTAAGCAACAACTACCATCTCCCTCTTATCCCTAAATATAAACAACATTCGTAAGTTGTCTTAAATTTTTGCAACAAATTTCCTATTTTGTCCTGATTAATTACTTATCTTAATATATTTATTATCTCATTTTCCAAACTATCATCTCTCTCCATCACACATTTCTTTTTCTCTCATAACTTTTTTTACTACAATAATTTTCTTATTGTCTTTCTCATACTCTTCCCCCCATAAATAAAGGCATTTTCAAGAAATAACTTTCAATTTCTATACTTTTATTGTCTTTAACCAATTTTAACTAACTTTTTGATCAAGTCCAAAATTGCTTATGAAAAGGGACGGAGGTGTTTGTGCATCAGTGTGTTTTTCCAACATCACTTGTTTTCTTACTAGATGAATTTTACAAAATTTACAAACATCACTCAGAATTATGAAAATTTAGTTTGCTCATGGACAAGTTCAAATCTCCAACTACATGCAAACCCAAGCCATGCAGTTTTCCCCCTTTTCCTTCTGCTTTTCTTTCTTTTTGTTCCTTTTTTCTGTGATTAGCTATGTGGTTATGCCGTGTATATACAAACAGGTCACTCTACAATACAAAATTCCCAAACGCGGAAATACCTATTGAAGAAGACATGTATAAATCAGATCACAGAAATATTTATATAAAATTTCCCAAAAAGCAATTCAGATGTGCCAACAGATCTTCCAAATTCCAGATCCAAATCAGCAAGAAAAGTTCAGAGTCAGGATCTATACACAGACGGAAACAAATATAATAAGCCACGATCAAAGAGGGGGAAAAAACCTAAGAAAACAAGACGGATCTAACAGAGCTTGAAAAGGTGGGGGGGCCTAAACGGAAATTTTCAGAATTCCGTACTAAAGTTAAGGACTTACTATTCAGGATTCATGGCGGAGCGAGGTTGAAAGCGGTGTGAATTTCAAGAAACAGAGAGGAGTAAGGGGTAGCCGGCGAGGAATTTGACCGAACTCTGAGACAGTCGCCGGAGGGAATACAGAGCGAATGTAAAAAATGAGCGAAGGGAATGCGTAATAAAATGAGTCAGATGTAGGAGCTGAGTACGATTCAAGGGTGGGAGTGTGATGACGTGTCAACTTCAACTGTGCCTTGCCACGTGTATCCCACTTGCCCATTTGGATGCTTCTCCCATCCTTTTACTTCTTTTTTAATTAAATAAACACAACGGGCATTTATTTTAATAAATATAATTTTGTAGTATTTAATATTATCAGGTGATCAAAATTTAAGTATTATCAAATTTTCTGGTAAAAAAAGTATTATAAAATTTAAATGAAGTTTCATTTACAATTTCTAAATTATCAATTGAGGTCATTTCCACTTTCAGTTCTCTACCATCCACTATGCTGTCCCTATTTTTTTTCCATAATTTTATTTTTCATGTTTTTGAAAATGTCCATTTCCCACCGTTTTAGAATGTGTTGATGTATAATCTATATCCAGAGAATATAGGATCCATGGTAGCTGATAAAGCCGTTTTAAATAACAATGAAAATTTGAAAAATTAAACATACGAGATTTCTTAGCAGATTGGGTTAATGATTAAAAATGAACCAATTTGATTAATGAGAAGTCAATGAGTAACATCTTCAGTTATCAACCTGATTTTTTTTTTTGTTAGTTCATATTCTCATTTAAACTTACTCCTCTCATCCTACTTATAAGATATAGAGAAGGTTTATTTTCCCTATTTATGAGTCATCTAATTAAACTTTTAGTAAAAATGTACTATTTTATTCTTTGTTTATCATAGGATAAGTGATTTTTTTAAAAAAAGTGTATATATTAAATAAAGATACAATTTTAAAATTGTTATATTTTAAAAGAAATCAGTTTAAAAATTTTTTTAATTTATATGAAATATGTTAAAAATGCCTCAGCTAGAACAAGTACTTCCGAAGTTCTAAATTAAAGAGAGAGAAAACATCTTTTGTTATTAGAACGAATATAATAACACACGCATTCTCATCACGTGGCTTTGAAGCTTTATGCATTGTTACTTTTGATTGTTATCTGATAAGACAATAACAGAGGGGGGAAACAAAAAGAGAAGCAGGGTATGATTTGAAAGCAAGCAATTGACTGCCTTTATTGATAAATAATAATAATAATAATAATAATAGAGGAAGAAGATGGAGTATGCTGTGTTTCAATGTTGCTTCTTCTTCCTGTAATGAGAGACGTGTACGTCGCCACTTCTGCAAATGCATACCGGATAGAAATTCTGATCATTACAATGGTCTAATATGGTAAAACCGGTGCTTCCGGGTGGTAGATTCAGAAGCCAACTTACCCCAAATAACAATAACAAGATGTATAATCTTTATCATATTATATTATAGAGATTGACTAAATTTGATGCAGTTACTAGAAGTTGCTCACAAGGGGGTCACAAGTAAAATTTGTATGTTCCAGCAATGGACCAAGCCTAACAAGTTTAGGCAAAACAATATTGTTCCTAACAGAGCACACCGCTGGGTTGTCCCACTGCAGAATAGACCCAACAAGGTTTGCACGTATGGTCAAGGGAAACACACGGGGCCATCTCTCCCTCCCATAAGACCTAAAAGCTGCTTCAATTTCAGCATCATTATTATCAGACTTCATTGCCTTTGCAAGCTTCGTAGCAAGAACCACAGAATCCTCAAGTGCACAACAGGCACCCTGACCAAGGTTCGGAGTCATGGGGTGCCACGCGTCTCCCACCACCACCACCCTGCCGGAGGAAGCAGCCGGGTTCAGGCCTGGCCATAGCCACCGGTCTACCAGTGGAGTCCTACTTACCGTCTCATCTGGGCTGCATTCCATTATGTTCATAAGCTCTGAAGGCCACTTTGCCACTAGTTTCTTCGCTTCCTTCTTTAGCACTGATGGGTCAGTGATTCTTGGACCTGATGTTTCAGATATTATTCATAAGAACCAACAATTTTGTTTTGTATACGAATGAATGGTTTCAAATTGAAGTTTTGAGGTAGGACCTGGAGATGGAGAATTGAAGCAGATGAACCAGTAAACTTTGGTGGGAGAAACAGGGACATATCCAGCACGAAGTCCTCGTCCGTAGATGTAATTGACATTTAGGCCGAATGGTTGTCCTTCTGGATAAAACCCAAGCCCACGATATGCACAATGGCCCGAGTATTTGGGCTCAGAGAAGCCCATCCATTTAGCAATTGGGGATCGAATCCCATCACATCCTATTACCATCTGTTTCGGTTACACAGAAAATCAAGTTGCAGGCGATAGAAAATCGACGAAGGACGAAGAGAAAGGGAAAGAAAACGATGAGAAAGACCTTTGCCAGAAGCTTGGAGCCATCGACGAGGTGCAACAAGGAGTCACCGTTTGGAGTGGATTCAATGTTCGATAGATTTGAGGAGAATTGAAGGGCGTCCTTTGGGAGCTTCTCGCTCAAGGTTTCCAGTAGTACTCGTCTCTCTACTGCACGGACCTCTTGGCTGCACATTGCGTCGAATGAAACATTGTGCAGTGATTGTTTTGATCTTCAATAATTTCAACATGAAATTGAGAGATATTGTGATATAGATTGAATCCGACGTAATACCTTTGATCTTCCTGTTTGAAATTGAAGGCGCGAAGCTCCCTTCCATCCTCCGACTTCACCACCATCCTGCACAGCTGATATTATGAACAAGTTCAGCTGAAATAATCTGAATTACTCCGCAGTAATTGTACCGAAGCAACAAATTCATCAGTACACACACATGATTCTGGGAGCAAGAATTTAAGACGAGGGGGATTGTGTGAAGATAGATTAACGTACCCTTGAATTTCTAAGAATTGGGGTCTGAGATCGTTGGCTACTCCGATGGCATCAAGGACCCTCCATCCATTCTTGAAAAGAGTGAGGGAAGTTCCAGTAGTTCTTAAGGACTCTGCCTGCTCAAGCACCATTGAAGAAACTCCGAGCCTGATCATTCAATAATAAATCACTACGAGTGAGGCTACGAGGAAAGTTCAATTCAATATATCTAGTTCTATCCAAAATGGATACTGTACCTGTGAAGGGAGAGAGCGGTGGCGAGGCCCGCGATGCCACCTCCGACGATGACAATATCTTGCTTGCGCACATTGGATTCAGATTTTACGACTGAGACCCTCCCAGCGGATCTGCTTCTGAGAATTCGGATTGCAGATTGGTGCCGGAAATTAAAAGGTGCTGAGCCCAGAAAGGAAGAACTGCTTGAAGCCATGGAGGTTCAATCCTACTGACCAGTACTAATGGTTAGCATGAAACGAAGGGAGCGAGTATGTTTGGGCGCGTGTTGAGCCTTCAGCCATATAAACAAGTGGTTAAGAACTGTTAGAGGCTTCCTTTTTTTTTTTTTTTTTTTGGGGGGGGAGGGTTGGGTGTTCGGCGAGTGGGATCATTATTCTTTTCATCAGGAAATATGTATGCCTACCCAAAAAAATTGGAATATGTATATGTCACCCAAAAAAAAAAATGAAATATGTTAAAAGCTAAAAAATCCTACCAAAAGACAAATGAATACACAAAATAAGGTAATTTTGGGTTAAAAAAAGAGGGAAAATTTCTTTTACGGATCACAGTACACAATTAATTTTAGTAAGCCCCAAAACTTTCTGAAACTTCACTGCAGGATCAAGAGGGCAAACTAATATTAATTTCACAAAAAAATGACACTATTATCCCTCATGTGAACAAGAGTGGAAGAGCCCATTTACAAGTGAAACTAGACAATTTGCAATATACATACATATATTTACAACTGAAATTAATCCATTTACATGTTACCTCCTTCACCTGAAGAGGTGTCCGTGGGTGAACAAGTGTGGGAGAGCCCATTTGCAAGTGTAACTAGACAATTTGTAACATACATACATTTATTTATAATTGGAATTAGTTCGTTTACATGTCACCTCCTTTACCTGAAGAAAGTGTTCATCATAGTAAACAAGTGTGGAAGAGCCTATTTGCAAGTAGAACTAGACAATTTGCAACATACATACCTTTATTTACAATTGGAATTAGTCTATTTACATGTAACCCCGCAATAAGTAGTATGAGAGGTAATAACATCATTTTCTCTGTGAAATTAATATCAGTTTGCCCCCTTGATCCTGCGGTAAAGTTGCAAAAAGTTTTTGGGATTCTTTAAAATTAATTCTGTCCTGCAGTCCTTAAACAAAATTTTTCCAACAAAAAAAAAAAAGAACTGTTTCTCCACCTGGTTGTCTCTTGGCCAATTGTCAGATGCTTTAGACTGGACAAGTCGCTAGTCCTCTGTCCGCTCGTTCTTTTTATTTTTCTTAAGGAAAAAAGTAGTGCTAGTATCTCTTTAAGAATTTTCACGCAAATAAGCATCCTCAGATTTCATAGTTTTGTATGAGGATTGTTTTAGCCCAAAAAGGAAAATGTGAGGATTGGGCTTATAATGTTAGCATTTTCTACTTTATGGGGTGGCTGGGTTGCTCTCTGCTAGCCTTGCGGTACCTCAAAATTTAACCAATAAGCCCATTTCTTGCACGCCAGATCAGGCACGCGCACGGAAGAATCCATTTCCATTTGGCAAAATTTTCAACGCAGAGGTACTGGGTCTAATAAAAAAAAACTAGTCTATTAAAACATGATAAATTAAGACTCATGTTCTTGTTAAGAGAGATACTCATATTTAATGTTTAAAATATCTCGAATAGGATGTCAGACAATACAGGGAAAAAAAACAAGTTCCTTTTGCATGAGACTCGTAGCTTCTACAGAATTGTGGAAGACTTCGACATATTTTTTCATTCAAAAGCGAGAAAACTCACAAGTAACAAAATCCATCTTCCCTCGTTAACCTCCACCTGTTGTACAGGATCACAAAAATTAGCCTCCATAAGATGGGACTTCGACTTTCCTGTAGCCCTTATTCAGCCAAGCCTTAAAACTTCTATTTTACCTCAAAAGGGTCGGAGTTACGATTGACAAGTCAGAAGTACTCCCAACCATACACGAATGGATAGAGAGTAAAGAGCTCAACCACGTTGGTTCAACTCATGGACTAGAAAAGGATAGCATATCTGTCATCCACCTAAACTTACTAAATGTCTTGCCAATTTCTCTGTTTTTTCAAGCGAGGAATATGATGTCAATCCTTAATATTCCTCCCCAGTATTATGCTTGCAGGCTAAATCACATTTTTCTAATGCTGATGACATTTGAGTATTGCTATATTTAATTGATAAAAAGAGTATTAAAAAATGTCAATAAAATACATGTTAAATTTTAAAATGATAAATAAGTGATTTTGCCAAACTTTAACATGTCAAGATCATTAAAAGAATAGTTAGCATAACATATCTGTTTTTTGAAATTCAATAGGATATTTTTTGTCATTTTTCTAAAAGGTATTGCTATATTTAAATAGGAGTAATTCTTTCAAAAACGTCTTTTATATGCATTCTTATATGAACTTGAACTACTCAATACTTCATGCTTAAACGATTGTATAATCAATTAATCATTCACTCTCTTGTTTTTATTGTTTATTATCTAAGTTTCATTTCAATTGTTGGAATTGCGTGTATTAATGTGTGTACTTTTAAATCGAAAACATATTACACAATAATTTGTTGGCAAAAAGATGTTAAATTATATTAAAAAATAATCTTTTTAATTTCTATTTTAATAATATTAATAAATAATAAGTAATATATATTTTAAACTTTCTGAATTAAATTTAAAAATGAAAACATAAATATATCTTGTTGACCAGTTAAATAACACATATAAACCTAATATTATGATGATAATAACAAATTAATGCATGCTATATCACCTCTACAAAAACAAACACCATATACAGTACCAAACCTCTTCCTTTTTCTCACGATATATATGCTTCCACATACCTCTCTCTCTCTCTCTCTATCTCTCTATCAATATATATATATATAAATATATATTATTGGCAAGAATGGAAAAGAATCAATGGTTACTTGCAAGAAATGAGTAACATGTTGTGAAATAATAAGAGGTTGAAGGTTGAACAAATTCGTGAGTTTACCAAATCTGGCATACTTACCCATAAACTTCTCCCTGTTTTGTGTTGTGATGCAAGGGTTAGGTTGATCAGCCTACCAAACTACACCCACGTCACCATTTAATATTGCATTAATACTATTTCAGTCGCAAAATTATTCTTTTCATTTATTTTAACAGTAACAAATTTTTTTTTTGCTATACACGAAGACAAATGCCTTTGGATTAATGTCCTCAAATCATTTTTATAAATAAATCAGTAATCACATGCATAGATATGGACAAATATAAAGATGAATGATTTAAGTTAATTTTACTTAAAGTTATATCAATTTTTTCGTTCTCTTACCATCGCTTTAGATTAAGAGTCGTACTTAACATGTCTTCCAACAAATGAGGAAAACAAGAAAAGAAAAGAGAAACGGATGTTGACAAAATAGCATTACATGATATAGAATTTAAACACATTTTTGTAGAGATCTAGAATAACAAAATAGGGATACCATATACTCCCTCCCATCCTATTTATAAGTTTTAAATTTGAATAGGAGTATAATTTATTTTATAAGCTTTAATTTATATTTATCTTAAAAATTAATGTGTTTTTTTAATTTCGCTTTTAATTATTTACTCTCTCACATTTGCTACACTATTTTTTTGTTATTTTTTCTCTCATTTACGTTTTTTATAAATAATCTCATGTATTTAGAAAAGATATATATATTTTTTACATATTTATAAATTTAAATTAATTTTAACTGTTTTTTATTTTATGTAAGTTAATTATTTAAAACTTATAATAATGACACGGGATGGTAAGATATAACATAATGGGATCAGAGTCCAATAATCTATGATTTTGCAGTAAACTCTGCCTTGCATCACTCATAAGTCATAAATAGTATGACTCTGAATTTTTTTTTATCACATGTGTGTGTATATGTCATAAAAATATAAATATTTGTAAGATACACCATATATTATTACCGAGAAGTTTAGCTTATGGTAAAAAGATCCGCTGGTAACTCATGGTGAGTTCAAACGATTAACCGGTGAAAGCCGCGGTAAAACTTTCCTTTATAAATACACTAGAATGGAAACTGGAACGCGTACAGAGAAAAGAAAGTATGGGAATAATGGGAGCGGCAAAGCCGCGGATCGAAGCAGTGTTAACTGTGTCGCCATTAAAGGTGACTGAACCACGACAGGTTCGTCAAGTTCAGGCGGCCCACAACCCAAAAGCTATTTCTGGCTGTCACCACATAGTTCTCTACTTCACCAAGTCGAGGAAAGATGATGATGATGGTGAGCCGTTTCTGGCTGGGTGGGCCGTGGAGTCACTGGCCATGGTTCTGTCGGAGCACCCACTTGTGGCAGGACGCCTCCGGCGAAGGGAAGACGGCGGAGAGGAGGACGATAGCAGAGCATTGGAGATTGTGTCCAATGACTCAGGCATCCGAATGGTGGAAGCTCGAATCCCCATGAGCATGTCTCAGCTTCTTGGACTGAATCGAGAGGACTTTGTCGGGGTTGAAGCTGATCTTGTGTTCTGGAAGGACGTGGATGAACACACCCCTGATTTCTCTCCTCTCTTTTACATCCAGGAAAGCATATATATCTTTGAGTTCATCACTTCATTTCTTGATTATATATATATAACTCTAAATTCATTGTAACTTCTTCAAGTCCTGAACTTGAAGCTATAATACACACACACATATATATATATATATATATAAATGTGTGTGTGTGTGTGCATATGTATATATGGCGTCATCTGAAGACATTTATGTGTGTTTCAAATTCTCAGGTGACAAACTTCGAATGTGGAGGATACTCTATTGGAATAAGCTGCAGTCTGCTGCTGGCAGAGTTTCTGATCGTTGAGAATTTCCTCAAGAAATGGTCGGACATACACAAGAACCATGTTAACCTAAAAAGCCAGAACGAAGAAGACAGTACTAAAACTGTGACACCCATATTTTACCATCCTCGTCTCAAGAATCCAGAGTCGCCTCCCCCCGACATAATCGCTCGTACCCCGACAAAGAACCAAGTCGTGAATCTCATGTTCAAAGTCACATCTCAAGACGCAGGTTTCGACGAAGATGACGAGGAACAGAAGTGGAAAGAATTAGGCATGATTTGCGTGAAGAAGGCAGAGCAGAAGCTTGAGAGAAACATGGCGAGTGAAAGCTTTTGGTTGATGGTGATGAAATGTGGTGAGGTTATCAGAGAGGTGGGAAGTTGCCGTAAGAGATCAACATCATCATCGGCTGGGCTGATGAAGAAGAAGGAGGAGGTGGTGTGGGCAACGTGGGATGAGTTTGGAGAGTACGAGGTAGAGTTTGAGGAAGGGAATAAGGCTGTGTTTGTTTCTCGGTGGATTAATGGATCAGTTTGTGACGACGATGAGGCACAGGTCGTGGCTGTTCCGTGTCCAAAAGTGGGTGTCTCTGCTTTGATTATGGTTTCTCTTCCTGTTTGATTGTATAATAATGATTTGGATCATTGGCTTATTTGTTTCTTTAACGTACTTTATCTTGCATTGAAGTGAAACGTGTTCCCCCTTTAGCAGAAGTAATTCATAATATTTGATGATGCTTTTCTTGCTTAAATATGTACAATACATCTATATTATATATGACTTTGCATTTTTCAACAGAGTAAAGAGGAACGAAGAAGGATAAAACAGGCTCCAATATTCACTTTTTACAGAAGTTTTATATTTAAGAAACTCTGGATCGAGTTCTTTTTATATATAGGATCTCGCTCTTCATAAACACACACACAGAATGAGAAAGAGAGAATCAAGTGTTATCCTTATTTTTCTCGAATTCCATAAGGAAAATAAGAAATTTGAGGCACATACATGCATAGGAATTTAAGTATTGTTAAATACACCTCTGATCCTTAATATAAAACTTCATTTGACTTTTATGTTAGTCCTAAATATAAGATTCAAATATATTTTGTCTCTCATATTTACTCAATTTTTTTCTAAGATAGTCTTTTTAATAATTGTAGTTTTAACCAACATATTTGATTAGTAAGGATATTTTAGAAAAGACAATACATATTTATTACCAATAACTAACTTAATTTCTTTCTTTAATTTTTTTAAATCAGTCAATTAGCTTTTATAATTAAGACCGGAGGTAATATAATTTCAAATGAAAAATACATTTTAGTTTAGTATCGTTTGTATTGCATCCACAAAATTTGCACCATGAAACATTAACATCTCTCTCGTCTCCCTGCCATGCAACCTAACCAACCCAAATGTGGATGTGGGTTGGTCTTGCCTCCGTTTCATGAACATCATTTAATGCATACTTTCTGGAAGCTAAAGCTAGTAGGTGAGAAGACAGGAAGGTACCATTTCATTTGAAGCATTTAATTGAATCAGAGCAAAATGACAGTCGAATTTTTTTTTTTTTTTTTTGTGGTAATGAATGAGGGCTGAGCCCGAGAATAAATTAATAAACTCAGAAGGGAACGGGTCCCATACAATCACTTGATAGCAAAGTTTCTAAATGACTAGGATAGGAATGTAAAACGGAGTTAAATGAAAGTCCTTGTTTGGCTAAAGCATCAGCCATCTGGTTTTGTTCCCGAAGAACATGAGTCACCTGCACCTCCCATGAGTAGTCAAGCATGTTCCATATCTGGAAAAGAGTAAGACTACTGCTATGAAAGTTATCCTTGGTTTGAACCATCTCTGCTAGAATCTTTGAGTCTGATTCCAGAATTATTTTCCTGAATCCACATTTCCAAGCCAATCTCAAACCTCTTAACATGGCCCATTCTTCCGCAGCAAGGATAGTACAATTTCCAAGAGTTTGAGTAAACCCCACAATCCATGACCCATCATGGTTTCTAATAATTCCACCACATCCAGCTTTGCTCCTAGTTGCTGAAACAGCACCGTCTACATTCAGCTTTAACCAACCAGGCTGAGGGGGTATCCATTTTGATGACAGTCGAATTTTAATTTCATTGAAATATTCAAATTAGTCCATCACCCCTGTTCTTTAGTTTGGATTGGGTCTCTAGCAGTACATAAAGCCCAACACTTGAGATTTCCCCATTTGCTTCTGTTTTTCGGCCTTTCCTAGCTTGGAATAGCTTGTGTATATCAAGATCATCCATACTGGGTGGAAATCTAGTCCTTGATGTTAAGGTCTTGAGGATCCGATTGCTAAGAATTACAAAACAGAATGTCGCTATGCTTCCTCTCAATATTTTTCTTTGTATGCTATTTGGAATATTAGTCTGATCTAATGATTGAGAAAGAAAAATTATGCTTGCTCACGGTCAGTTTGGTACGGGAGAAAGGAAGTGAAGGAAAAATTTTAATGAGTTTGATTTAAAATATTGAAAAAGATATGGTTTTTAATTAAATTTTTTTGGCTTTTATCTTGTATATTCTTTTTATCAACATTTCATAATCTCAATTTCCCTCCCCTTTCCTTCAGTTCTTTCATACTCCTCCGGTCCTTAATATAAGACCCATTTAACTAATATGATTAGATTAAAGAAGTTAGGTAAGTTAGTTAATTATAAAAAATGTGACATGTTTTTCCTTAAATACTATAATCATCTTTCTTAATACGACATCTTCCTCTTCTACTTGATTATGGTTGAGGGAGTATCCATAGGGCTAATTTAGAAAAAATTGATAAATATGAGAAATGAGTCTTATATTTAGGACTAAAACTAACTTAATAATTAGGTCGTATATTAAGGACCGGAGGAGTACTAAACAAGGGGTAAGAGCCTTCATTCTTACTCTAACCAAAAAAAAAAACTCATACATAAGCCCCAAATGTTAGTAGCTAGTCGGTAGGTTAAACTCTTAACTAATTACATCGTAGATTTAATTTCCGCTATTAATGTGAGGAACTTATTAATGAACGGCTATAAATAATGTTGGAATGGCTTTTGAGCTTGGATGAACACCTTAAACCTATTGATGAGTAATGTCTCTCCTGCTTAGATGAAGCGGACACTGCAAATTAAGTTAGAGAGAAGCATTGAGGTTTGAGAGAGTTTAGAAAAGATTTAATTGCTAGAGATTACTTAACGGGCTCTTAAGAAGTCCAAATTCAGATGACCCTGCACATATATTAAAGAAGCTAAGCAAATATCGTATAAACGGCGTCCACTCTCTAGGAGGGGAAATTGATTTGCTCCACTTGGCTGAGGAATTGATTTCGATGCTTTATACTCCTCCGGTCCTTATTATAAGACCCCATTTGACTTTTTATTTGGTCCTAATTATAAGACCCAAATCCATTTTGTCTCTTATATTTATACATTTTTTTCCAAGATAATCCTTCTAATAATAATAGTTTTAGCCAATATACTTAATTAGCAAGGATATTTTAGTAATGACAACATTTATTTATTATAAATAACTAACTTAACTTACTTCCTTAATCTCTTCAAATAAATCAATTGGGTCTTATAATTAGGACCCGAGGAGTATAATTTTAAAAGTATAAAATAATTTGTATCCTTGAATTTTAATCTAAAAGATTCAGAACCGCAGTGAAGTCACGGTTAAAACCACAACGCGTTGCATTTTGCTTGAAATTTGACCACAAACCAGTTTTTTTTTTTTTTACACCCCCAAAATGCAGGACTTTGACGAAGGATAAAGAATTTTCTCACGTGTCTTTGCAGTGCAATAAAATAGGAGAGAAATTGAGGAAGTTAGATACTGTTTGGTATGAAATATTGAAAAATAAAAACTGGGATTGCAATTGACAAAAATAATTAAAAAAATATTTAACATAAGTAATTGTTTGTTACACGGATTAAACAAACTCATAAATATGAGATCAGAAAACACAACTTTCCCACATGATATTCCTCTATATGGATTTATCCAATCTTATATAATAAACAATCTCTTATGCTAAATACTTTTTTAATAAATTTTTCCAATCCTAATCTCAATTCTTACTTTTCATTTTTAATATTTTGTACCAAAAGGGATCTTAGATCTTTTAGGAGCACCTCTAAATTGAAAAATAGATAATAAATAATATAATAATAATAATAATAATAATAATAGATAAGTAAAAAATTCAATTCGTTAAAAATCAATAGAACTATTTTTGGCCCCAAGAACAGAGATTACCAGGGAAAAGAAAAGACTAACATCTGGTAGGAGTTTGCGTCTTTGCGATTAAATTGACAAGTTTTAGCATATTTCAGGCAGAGCTAAGGAATTGGAATCTCGTTATTATTAGTGTTTTTCAACATTCTCCCGGATGAATATTTATTCACATGAAAATTAAGGGGAAAAAAAAGAATCAATTCTGAGCCCCATCACATGCATTATTATTGAATACAATCCAAATTTGGGATACTTCCTCCCCCCCCCCCCCCGCGGGTTCCCCATGATATGCGCACAAAATAATGAAGTGAGTAGATCATACTGGAAAGAGCTCTATAATGAGATGCAACCTCTGTTTAACTGCTTTACAGAAGAAATAAACCGACATAAATGCTACACTTGGACAGACACAGGCGCGCAGAACTGACTTTGATCATAACCACGTTATAAAGTTCCTACAACTAAAGGCAAACACATCTTCTCACCAAAAAGGGAGAATTAAAAAAGGCAAACACATCTTCAAGGGATGAATTCCTATGCTGCATTTCAAAAGAAAGAAATTGGCTTTTTCATCATTTAATTTTAAGAGATATATATATGCTTTGAATTTTAACTATATATATACACACACCACCTCTCTATATATATATAAATTATAAATGCAAGTTGTGGGCTTGTTGTAGAGTAAAATAAAACAAAGAGCATGTGATCACCACTTTCTCCACAGCATGTGAAGTAAGCCCCACCAATGGCATCCTTTTCGTATTCTTCCACTACCAGTCGTCCCATTTCTACTTTACCTCTTTCTTCTTCACCCACAGCTACCCACCTAACCTCTCTCTCTGTTCATCACAATTCATACGCTTACCTACCCCATTCATCTCTTTTTAATAGCAGAATAGCCTTTCTATTTTGCCTTCGTAAACCAAAAACTTTCAGAAAATTAAAGTATACAGATCAGTTCTCCCACCATCAGTTTAAAATATGCATAATTACTACACTAAGCTAGCTACTAGAATTAAAAAAAAAAAAAAAGAAGTTGCGAGTTATGTTAGTCTTGACGACAGCCAATTGTGTTGCAGGAATTTAGTTTGAAAATTATCAGGGACAAGAACATTTGTTGTTGTTTAAGGCTTGGCGAGCCATATGATGAACACGGGGACATTTAGCATCAACTAATAAAAAATTAGACAAAAGGCACACAGAAATTTGAAGAAAACCAGAGAAGGTCAGAATGGCCACATCCCTCTTATTCAGCTACAATGTGACAAAAGGATATGGCGTTCAAATGAAAGCTCCTAATGAAAACAGATCATTAAAAATGGTGCACCCAAGTATCATCGTGCATGAACATGAAGCAACAAAACAAAAGGGAAACTCAGAACGCTACACGAATACATGTCTCATCAATCTACATCATGGAATCCAAAAACTAAAACAATTTTAATGATTTATTCAAGCAAGCAGCACCAGAGCTCCTCCAAGCATAAGAACTAGCATTGAGAAGCTGGTTCCAAGAACAGAGGCGTCGCTGCTGGGGGTAGAAGCCACAGGGGTCTGTGACATGGGAGACAGGGATGGACCAGACCCAGGTGCAGGCATCGGTGAAGGCGATGAGGACTCGGGAGAAGGAGCTGAAGGTGAAGGTGGTGAAGAGGTGGCGCTGCTAGATGGTCCTGGGCTTGGGCTTGGGCTGAGGGAACTTGGTGATGGTGGAGGTGATGAAACAGGGGAGGTTGCAGGTGCAGGAGCCGCCTTTGGAGATGGCGGTGACATGGTGCTAGATGGCGCCATTGCCATGGGTGCAGGAGAAGGGGCTTGGCCATTAGAGAATGCTACAAAAGCCAAGGACATGGCTAGCACGAGCATGGCACGTGCAGGCGCCATGACATAACAAAAAATGAAGATTGAGCGAACAGAAAGCAGAGACAGAGAGGGAAAGAGGGAGGCAGAGGCAGAGACAATGGTTCTGGAGAAGAGCAGGGGAGGTAGGGGTTGGGAGAGATAAATAGGAGGGAAATATTAGAAAGTTTTAAGAGAATCTAGTCCTCATCTTTATTGGCATGACACTGAAATGCACGAATATTCCATGCCCTTGAAAAGAGTTTGACACGCGTTGAGAAAGAGTCTGCGTGAATTTTAAGTGGAGAGAGCATCTCGTCGTGGTGGTCATGCATCCATAGAATCCGAATAAGCCACTGGGGTGTTAAATATGGAATTAAAGTTTAAGACTTTTGATTACAACTGCCAAACATGCCTTCGCAAATGAAGCCATTCAGCACATCCTTTCATCTTTTTTACAATTACAAGACTAAAAGGCAAACTTGAGTAATTTGATGATCACAGTTAATATCCCCCAGAAATAGAAAATCATTAAAAAAAAATGCTTGGCTTATAATCATAATTATAAGAGAGATCAAAAAAAGGCAGAAGAAAAAGAGAGTAAATTGCATATAGAATCAGGTATGCAAGTAATGGAGGGTAAAGCAGAAAGAATCCAAGGCAGCGAAAGGATAATATTTGTAAGGAAAGAGAAAGAAAGGAGTGGCTGATGACACACCGCACACACAACACACACACACACGCGTATATTTTATTCGATAAATACAGTGAATGAATATGGAGAAAGAGGAAGTAGTGCTGATGATGATGATGATAAGTGGCACCACGTGGTGGGTTGAGTAAGGGCAATAAAAAGCAAGGACACAGTGACCCCATTTCTACATGACATTATACAATACTTGCTTTCCATTACTGTCTCCTCCTCCCGCAAAGCCTGCAACTTTTTTTTTTTCATCTCCACCGTACAGCCTATTCCTCCTCTGACACTCATTTCTCGGTCTGTCCCGCTTCCTACGGGTTACTCTTAGTCTTTCATCTGCTACATTCCAACTTCTTATTAAGTTTGCTAAATCCTCTGTTCAGAACACTCTTGTTTAAATCCAGTATTCGTAGAGACTAAAAAGGTTGTTATTTTGTCTAACGCCTAGTTAACGTTGGAAGTTTGGAAAAGGATGCGTAACATGTTCGTCAATGACTCTGCCTGCTGTACCACTATTAATGTCCGGTATGATATATGATATTTGATAGCTACGCCCATTTGTCCACATATTCCTCTAATGCGGGATAAATACCACACAGCTGTTTACAGGTTGGTGCAGAACTACTTATTGTCCCTTTCCTCGCACATTCAGATACATGTGCCACACCTTATCGCCATACACTGCAGGGTATACATTCTCCAACTTCACAGCTTTAATATACTTTCCTAGCTTTCTAGGTCAGACCGGCAAGCACAATTATTCCATCTATTAAATACCTTTTTTGCGTGAAAAAATGAGCAATATGGAAAAAATCAGATCAGATTAAGAAATGGCTTACAACATTCATTTTCAGACTTCGTACGTCGCCCAAAGACTCATACATGATTAAGCAAAAAGCCATAATCCAATTAAGAAGTTATGTTCCTTAGTTGAGGCCTCAGTTTCTCTGATGTTGTCCCTCCATCAGTGAGGGAGATAGATTGTATCTATGTTATATCACGGGTCACATACTGACATTGGGAGTTTAGGACCACTAGCAGAAAATGTATTCCCCAAAACTTTTCCCCCTTATTCAACTGTCAAATAAAGAGGGGAAGACAGATTTAACATTTGAATATCTCTTCCACCCTCATCTACCAGCTAAACATTACTTCCCCATTTGAAATTTATCATCTTAATACTGAGATGCAGATGAGAAAGACGAATGTCTAATTTCTATTTATACAAAGACACATGATGGTAGTTCACCAAAAAAAAGGAAAAAAAGAAAAAAATGACACGTGATGGTAAAAGATACCAGGCTGATCTTAATTCTCAACCAATTAAATGCAAGTATCATAACTGATATGTACTGAAATATAGATTGCGAATATACTATTGAAATTCTAAGCATTCATGTTACACGTATCAATCTTGTTGTTCAAAACCTGATGATAACAAGATATATCTTGGGGCTTAAGTGGGGTTCGGACTAGGAAAAGATAGGAACTTTGCCTATGCCTAAATCAGTTGGTCCAGAACCAGAAAAATAATAAAACTTACCGGGTACACAAACATCTGAGGTCATAACAAGCAAAAGCAATCGTCCTCCGCGTATCTCCAGACCAGGAAGTTGCTTCACGGTGAACAGAAATCACATTCGGAATTTGCAACCCTGTAGAGTCTAGACAAACTGATAAAAGTCCAATAACGAGTTAAATGACTACCGCAAGCTGCAGTTAAGAGCCACTGACAAAATCTTTCCCCATTCTTTTTCTCATTACAATCTTCGTATTAAGCAATACATTTGAGGGTTCATTGTGTCAAACCTGAATATCACCTGTCCCCGCTCAGCAGTGGTTGAGAAGCTGGGGCTGCAAAAATAAAATACAACATAAAAATAAAAAAACACAAGTTAGTCCAGAGTGCTATAAGCATTACTCGGATGGTCAAAAAGACAAATTCCTAATTCAAGCATTGGATTTGACATGGCTCAGAAACAAGTATATAAAGCGTGAGAATGTTCTTTTTTCCCCCCTCACACATACTTGTACATAGAAAAAGCTTCCATTTAAATCTACAAAATAATGCTCAGAGCTTCCTGGCATACTTAATTCGATTGCAGAATTTCAATAATTTATACCTAGACTCACTATGGTCTGAACTATGGAGTTTCTTACAGACAATGACTACTTTATATGGAATAGATACTGCCATAAGCAAAGTAATAGGTTGATAAAACCTGTGCAAGATAAGGAAGGATAGCAGCTGACCCTATGATTACATATCTTCTTAGAAGAAGCTCCTTAAACAAATTTATTTATGCAATTAACCCTTTTTCTAACAACAAATATTTAATAGGGGGAACATTTACCCCCAGGATTTTGCTGCCCAATGGATACAGGTTCTGGCCTGCGACTTCTTTCTGCAATTTCAGCTACGACCAAACGAGATAAAAGAAGCCCAGCGATACAAGCCCCAAGCGCTAGCATAGCAAAAACAGCATTCCATCCCATTGTTGAAAGGAACCCAGTGAGAAGAGGACCAAGAGCCGCACCAACTGATCCAGTGCCATCTATTATGGCAGTCACTGTAGCTAGAGCTCGAGAATCTCCTCTAAGAGAACTGTGTGTTCCCAAGTCCGCAGAAACAGCAGTAGTGATAAGCGCATAAGGGCCGTTCACAAGCAATCCAGTGGCGATCATAAGTGCAATGTTAACATTCATAGAAATACTTCCATAGATTCGGTATAAAAGCATAGCAGGAATTGCAGCATACATGAAACTGGCCGCAGTGGTAGCACGGGCATTGAGTTTATCAGATATGTAACCAGCAAGAACACCTCCAAATATACCCCCGACATCAAACAAAGTAGAGAGATTGCCAGCAGATTCAACAGAGACATACTCTCCACCAATTTCTGCAAGATTATCAAAGGAATAAAAAAACAAATTCAACCTCTCTACAGGCTAAACTGTGAATTACAAGAAAAAGAAATTAGTATAATAAAAAGGAGCCCACGATTGATGACGATTGAAAGATGCGGTTTACATTGCCTAAGAGTTGGATACAGTTTAAACAATGACAGAAGAGGTTATATCATAATTTTTAACCAGTTTCATTAAAATGAACCGTATTTTGGGAATCACAAAAGCTACTTGATCAATTCCACAAGAGATAATTCTTCCGCAATCATGATCACAATCCATTTGTCCCGGGTCATAAACGTCCACTTCCCAGTCAAATTCCAGTCATAGATTATTATGAAGAAGAGACTCCGTTGGATTGCCAGCAAAGTTGAAAACATAAATTGATCCATCATGTGATGGCTGTTTCTATAACTTAACCACCAAAAGTAAAAATATTACAGTAGCAATGATAGATGACGAGCTCCAAGGAACAGAAGGTTTTGAAGAAGTTGTCATATATGATATGTCAGAAAAGAACACTCTTCAGTCCCACAATGTCACTGTGTGAGAAACAAATTGGCCAAATAAGATATCCTAGTAACCAAAAGGTTGGGTGATCACAAATGCTCTGAGCTTAAGCAGAATGTGACCACATCAAATCATCTGTATCTAAACTACAATTCTCTAAGTTAATGTAGAAGAGAAGAATCAAAAACTCCCTAGAATCTGGGAATCAAATATCAACAATTTCATCAGTTAATCGAAAATCACAGTTCATGAACTGACCAACTCCTTAACCGTCATTTGCTTATGTAATTATGCGATCTCGCAATCTCAAGTAACGTTAGTATATTCCAAAAAACATGGTAAACCAAGCATGATGATCATGATAATTACCTGTCTGACTCAGATAAAATGGTAGCCAATAGAGAAACGTGTAGGCAACAAGCTTGGCGAAGAAAAGGCACAAGGCATATGGTATAACCCCTGGGATAAAGCATGCTTCAAGAAGCCCAACACTCTTCGTACGTACTGAAGCACCGCTCAAGGTACGTAGTGACCCCGGCGAGAAAGCGACGGTTGTCACTTCCCCTTTCGTTATCTGAGCTTCTTCATCAGGATGCATTGCTGCTAATAGATCCGAATCTGAGCCATGAATCGAAGTAATCCCACATCCTCTGGATAAGCAGCTAAGAACAAGTAAACAAATAATCCTCCAAATATGATCAAAGCTCCTGGTACGATGAAAGACCAGCCCCACCCATATTTCAAGACGCTAACTGCAAGAAGAGAGCCACTTATATTACCAACTGAAGTGTGAGCATTCCAAACACCCATTATCAATCCTCTCTTCCTCTTGCCGAACCAATTACCAATCACAGCAACAACAGAAGGCCAACCCGTTGCTTGAAACAATCCAGCAATCATTTGCATAATTAGATAATACGAGAAAGCATGAATTTTCCAGAAATAACCCATCCCAAAAAGCCCAACGAATACTCCACTTGCAATCATCCCCATAGTCAAGAA